AACACCCACCATCGGGGATTAAATCACCAGGAACGAAGGGAAAAGATGAGAGCTAGAGAGACGAAGGTTTTCCTGGATTGGGAGACTTAAGAATCATGCAGGGGGAGGAAAAACATCTCCAGAAATAAAAAGAAAAGGCTTATTTCTGAAGCCTCAGGTATCACGCCATGTAGCAGGGAGAAACAAGTATCTTTCATTTGGCTTTGTTGAAAGGTAGTGGAGACCCAGGCTGCTCCAAATTGCCCAGCCCTTCCTCCCGACCCCAAGGCTTCTCTGTCTACAATAAGACCTTGCAACAGTGCCAATGCGTGTCCTCAAAGACACTGGGCCTTTTTTGGTGCAAATCATAAAACATATTCACAGGCATGTCTGGCCCAAATAATGGAGTCAAGAGCTCTTTAGGCTGGGTTTGTGCTCCCAAAATGGGCCCATGTGACAGTACCCACCCAGTACACAAAATGGAGCTAATTTGCAATATCTCTTGTTCACCATTTGGGTGTACTGCTTCTCTCTCTCTCTCTCTCTCTCACACACACACACACACACACACACACACACACGATCCTTTCATCTGGGGACATTAATATTTAATCATGGCTTTGATTGCATATAAAGACAGTTCAAGGATATATATTTCTACCTAAATGCCTAATAATTTAATAACATTTATTGAATCTGCACTTGAATTAGACTCTGCTTTGTTTCAATACCCTGGTTGCATTAAACAGGGTCGATTTTTAATAGAGACCACATAGTCTATTTTTTGGTTCTCCACTTACTTCTACAAGCCACAGGGCATGAAGGGGCTTCACCAGTGCCCGTGATGAAGCATGCAGAACCATAAGGAGTCTTTCCATCAGACAGTGAACATCACCTGGTCGGCACCCCCCTATCGACAGTGGTACACCTCCAGGATCACAGTCCCCCTTCTGCGCTGGTCTCAGAGAAGAAGCTATGGAGAGAGTTCCATCGTGCAGAAAGCTCCCGGGAGGCAAGTCAGGAGTCCACTCCAGCCCCTTAGATGCCGAACTTGCTTCTGATAAAGTTTGACATTAGCATTGTTGCTATAACTTATTTCCAGAGCCTTTCCAAGTCTTAGCCACGCGTACTTGGGCATGATGTTGGGTAACTCCACTCCACAACACGCACCCTGCAGATATAGGTGCTTTGATGCTCCTGAGAGGAGAAGCAAGTTACTAGAGGCCGTCCCAGTTCTGAGTCCTGGTGACACCTGCCTCCAAGGTGCAGCAAGGACTAGCCGTGTGACCCACCTGCGGTCCCCAGCTCTGGGGTGGGGGGCATAGCACTGTCTGCTTCAGCGTGTCTTACCGCTTGAGCTTTGACTTGCTGGTCTCGTGTTTTAGGAGATGCAACCCGGATGTTCAGGCTTCTTGCAATCTGTGTCTTATTGTAATAAGGACACAGTGGAATCTCCTATATTTGTAGTGTAGCCTCATAGTGCTTCTGTTTTCCAGCAACTTCTTCATAGGTTAAGTATGTCGTGTGTGAGTGAGTGAGTGTGTGTGTGTGTTCTCAGATGCATTTTGCTATGGTGGAGTACAATATTTTCCATCTGTTACAACTTAGAGAATCTTTTTTCTTTTGTAGAAATCTTGAGATAATGCTTCAAGATGGGGAGCATATGATAGTTTATTTTCTTTTAAAGAATTTAAAAAAATTCCAGACACTCGATTCTGAGATGCTTGCTCATTTCCCTATGTTCCTATTTTGTTCATACCTAGGCATGTGTGTGTGTTTGTATCTTTGGATCTGAGTTCCTTTCGGTCTGGCCCTTATTCCCAGATCTTCTCAGAAAACCCAGAAGAGTAGAGACTTTATCTGATATTTCAGCCCCCCTACTTTAAAAACTTTCCATTTTAAGTAAAGCATTATTTTGCCAGTGATGACTGCGGGCATCTAGCCATGATCCTCTTTGCCTAGGACACCCCGTGGGGGTGGACCTCTTGGCGGTCCCTCTCCTGCTTGGGAAGCTGGCAGAAGGGGAATGTACAGCAAGCAAAACTCCAGGAGACAATAGTACCCTTCCCTGCATCCTTTCCTACTTAATTCAGGATGCTGAATTCCCACAATTTCTATGTTTTAATTTAACTTATTGGACTTGATCTTTTTATCTACTTAGTTCCGTGTTTTTAAAACACACAACCTGGGAAGACTCAGAAATTTATAAAAGAATTAAATGATAGGTAGAGAATCATAATAAAAATGCACTTGTACCTAACAGGTGTATCTTTAATGGGATAATACACCATAATTGTTCATTGTATCTGGGCAGTATCACACCACACAATAAGTGGGTGTCAGCTCATTTAAAGTTAGCACGTAAATTTGTATCAAGCTTTAAAACAGATCACAACATCACATCAAACAAGGACCTTTTTCTCCTTGCAATTTGAATTTTATGATGGATAGATGTCTTAAGTTTTTTAAAATTTAAATGATTTCATATATGAATAAAGATCAACCTAAGCTGAGAAATAGGTATAAAAAAATACAACCAGCTATTGACTTTCTCCCTTTCTCTCTCTCTCTCTTTTTTAGGGCTTGTCTCAGTAAATAAAGTATTGATCTTTCCCGTTTGGGACTTGGGCTCAATTCCACTCTCTACTTCTCAGTGAAATGGATTCAGTGGTTTGGGCAGCTTTTTCTTTTAACAAACAGTAACCCAAGAACAAAAATGAAGCCATTCACCTTAGCCAATTCGCTCTTTATTTTGTTGTTGTTGTGAGTCAGGTGCATACATGTCTTCCACGAGTCCCAAACAAACCCTCCAGCCTCAAATGCATCTTTTCTCCTTATAATTTTAATAAGCATCACGCACACACAATAACCCACCCTACACACCACAACCCACCCTATTTCCCCAGGAATTTTTTTCCAGCCTAGAATTAAATAAGACTTCTCTCTCACACCCAGTGTGTTTTCTTGGTTTTATATTCTGGCTTTTTCGTTTCATTTTTGGCCTTGGTTAGCAAACACCACGGAGAGGGCAGGTATGCGGTAAGGAGGGATGCTACAGGACGCAGTGGTTCTATCTCAAGATTGTTCATTAGCAAAAACAACACAGCCTGGCCAGGACCCCAGTGGGAGAGTAGAAATCACTGCAATCTAAGAAATCCAGTGGCTTGGGTGTTACCATTCACATTTCACTCCGTAAGCTACACGTATCTACAAGAGTTCAGCAAGTTTGGTTTGACCAAAAAAAAAAAAAAAAAAAAAAGGAAAAATAGACAACTCATAAATAGCAAAAATCTTGGAAGCCACAAGAGGACTTTCACTGGAAAATCCAAGAACATTTTTTGAAAAGTATATTTAACCAAACTTCCATATTTGCTCTTAGACTCAACATGCCCAATTCTTTCCAATCAAAAGAATTTGATTTCCAACCCGCCAACCCCCAATGAGTACACGGCCTTCCTCCCTGTGTCTATGGCGGCTATTAACAGGAGCTCCCATCTTCTCCACTTCCATGGTGTTCCTGAGGCCAACACCCAGGCATTTTGACTGCTTACCCAGGAGAGCCTGAAAAAAGTGCAGGAATACTTCTGCAAATATAACTGCGTCATTTTCCCCTACCTGGAAGCCAACTGAGAGCCACACTTTCCTATTCAGAGCATTTACTATGGAACCCTGAGCAAGAAGCTCTTTATGATTTGCTATTTCAAATGTCAAATTTATCTGAAGTAGCTAAATCTACACAAACACATAGGGTACCAATTTTATTACCTTACTGGAAAGTGATGCTAATTATCCTTAAACACCATTTCTGTTTTCTGTCAGCGAGAAAGCAGATTCATTAAGTTATGGAAGATCTGTAATATATTTCACCAGCTAGAGAAAGTCACCAAAAAAGAATATTTTCTCAATTTTTCCCATACATGACATGAGCCAAAATATCTGACTCTCAGTAAGGGTTGGGGAAGGAGAAAAATGGCAACTATTTCCTCTTAATTTGATATATTTTCCTGAATTTAGCAGTCATTTCCTGCTCCAGATTAGTTGGGAGTTTTGAACAATGTACTTTCTGAGCGATTATGAACTAGGACAGCAAAGTTTTACCTCTTTGGGACCAGAATGTACGTCAATCTGCTCATTGAAGTCTCGCTGACAATAAGAAATTCTTTTTAAAAGCCAGTGTGGGCCCTGACATTTTGAATAAAGTCTAATTCCATTGGATGCAAATGAGACAGAAACAATGAAATGTTCAAGAGTGACCATTACTACACTGTGTGTATTACACTCTGGGTGGTCAAAAGGTGATCTCCCACCGTGTCCCAACCTCCCCTTCCAGCTGCACCTCTCCAAAACACATTCTTATAGAAGAAGGCGATTCAGCAGTAAACGCTATACACCAAAGGCTAGCCAACGGTCTTTACAATTAAAAGAAAAAACAAACAACAACAGCAACAACAACAACAACAACAACAAAAAAACACAGGAATTTGCAATAAAACCAGACCACTGGCGTCACCTTTCAACGCACAGAATCATCCAGAATCATCTTACTCAATCCCTGGGATCCAGAAGGCATGTTTAAGAGCAGACAGTGAAGTGCTGTTTACTATGAAAATATCCATTATTTTTTTAAGGTATTTTACCCAATTTTCGAGATGATATTTTTAAACTCATGGTTTCTAGAAATTTAAATTTCATCACAGCCCAGAAGACTGAATTTGGAATTTGTTAAAATATATGTCCTTCAATAAAAGGCCAATAAAATATTTAAGAAATCAAATTCTCACCAAATAATGCATGACATTAGCATAAAGGCAAAAATATTTACCGGAAAATATACAGCACACATTATGAAATCTCCCTTTAGATTATGAAATGTTTTCTTTCCCCCTCACTACCATATTGCATGCTTTATTGTAAGCCTGTTTCTAATAAAATCTAAGATAATTTCAGTTTTATATGTTCTCAGCCTCACCTACAGAAAGTCAAGGTTTGTTATGGTGCCAAAGAACAGATTTTCAAAAAATGATCACCCATGAGCCAAACATGGCGCAAATAAAAGACAATTTTTTCTGTATCATGACAGACAACATGCAAACATAAAAGGCACACTTGGACCTTGGGGGATGTGATTTTTTCCTCTTTGGAACAAGTGGCACGACTTTGCTAGAGTTCAGTATCGTTAGCAGAAGTTTCACACAGACCTGGCAAAAGAAATTTTGATAGCATCACTATCGCATTAAATATCAACCCATCTACATCACTTACTTCAAAACTGCCTTCTGCAGGAACACTTTTAAAAATGAACTTTATTATAGAAACTTCCAAATACACACAAAAACAGAAAGAAGGGTTTAATCTACTTCCTTGTATCTGGAACCCAAATTCAACAACAATCATTCTTGCTAGTTTCTTCCGGTATTTTTTGGCTAGACTATTTTCAAAGCAAGGCCAAGGATTGTGTCATTTCATCCATGGCTGTGGGAGTATTTAAAGATCTGTGCAGAAATATCTGGCATTTCACAGAAGGACAGAGAAACAGCCGGATACTCCAACACACTCTAGTTTCTCAATTGAAAGCAGTTAATGCCAACTCAGAAAGAAGGTGGATTATTTAGCCACATAATTCACTGAACATATGCTTGCCTTTCAAACTATTTCATACATAAGAACGTGGCATCCTCACGAGTGAGAGCATCTACACAAGAAAGGTAAAGATACTTTTACTTTAAATGTAGATCAAATATTATTAGATATCGGATGCCTTACTCCATATGCTTTCACGGCAAATTTTTTAGTTATGGACTTAAAATCTGATATCAAAGAAGTGCTAAATACAGGGATATTTCCGTTGTTTTATTGAACAAAAACCTCCACCAATGAAAGCATCCAGTGCACTCCTTTCCACCCTGAGTGATATATATTCTGCTTACTCATGATCTAAAATCGTATTACAATTTTGGCCATTTGGCCTCCCAAGAACTCAAGAGAACAATCTGGAAAAACCTAGGTTATATAACACAACATATTCCACCAGGAAAATCTAATGAAGTTACTTTTATGGTTTTGCCTAGAAAAAAAAAAAAAAAAAGAACGTATGAAGAACATCTTCTGAGACTCTTATCTCACACTCCAGGAATAGATTATAGCTGGCTCCTTTCATTCTAACCAGTGAATAAAATTTCAGGGGCACCTGCAGATCCATCTGCAATCCTACCCCTGAGGTTTTTTCCACTCACCGTAAAGATGACACATTATGCTATGAAAATATCACTGATGTGTTGTTTTCAAATCCAGACACAGTCACCTTAAATTTGATGCATTGTTTTCTTAGCTATTTCCATTATTTTTGTGTGTGAATATTGGAAGCTTAATGTTTTTGAGGCTTGTGTCTTCATCTACTCATATGTAATTATTATAAATAAAGTCAAATGCGTTTGACAGAAAAAGTCACATTCACACATACCCGAAGCCTATATGAAAGCTGGTCAGAAGCTAAACCGCCAATCAGATCTCGGGTTCTACCAAAAGCAAAAATTATTTTCTAAAGAACTATTTATTTCCCTTAAAGCAATACGTGATGACTTCGACAGTTCTCCATAGAACGTTTTGCACGCAGTATACACTCAGTATATAGTAGTTACTGCTGTATAACAAATTTCACATGTACAACATCATATCTCTAAATGATCGGCTAACTTACAGAAAGCATGTTATACACTATTGCTGCTGTATAAAATAGAACAAGACGCAGTGTTTTCTTTACAAAACAGAGTACAGCTGTCACAGTCTTGTAGGAGACTTCCTGCTTTTGTATTTGAGATCATGTTTGAATGCATCTGGGTTTTTTTTTCTATGATACCCACATCTCATCTTCTACACAGTTGTCTGAAACCGCCCCCGTGTGCTACGCTGTGCCCCCTTTGCTGCAAGCACTCACTGGGATTGTTCGGTTTTGTTTAAACCACTGATGTGCTGTTGAGCTTTTCTGGCAAAGCTTAAACACAGAACTCGCTGTTTGTATCACGAAGCAGATTTTTCTCCAACAGCGGGTGCTGAAGGAGAGGGATCTAGCATCTTGTAGAATTAATTCTCATTTAAGTCAAGAGCGGCTGAGAATACCCGTCCAAAAAATGTTTCTTGAAGAAATGCAGCAGGAAAGAACTTGCTCACTTCCCACCAGGCAGCCATGGGACAGTGTGATCATTCCACTCCTGATAGTGCTGTGTACGGCCATCAGGACCTGCTCAGTTTTTTTTTTTTAATTTTAACATTAATTCAGATCTATGCAATCACGTGTCATTGTATACTAGCAATACTGCTAGTATTTTTCCCAAGGCAAAATTTGATCTCTAAGTTTAAATCTGCACAAAGACTGAGAGAGGCGGTTCCTATTACTGAATTTAAGTCAAATGGCTGAACTTGGGGACAAAGTTTTTCCCTGGAATTTGAGAGTGATCACTACGATATACAGTTGGTGGAACCAAGTTTTTCCGGAACATTCGAATGAATGCTTACACAGCTGCCTATCTCATACAAATGCTCCATAAGGGGATAAAACAGGAAAACAACTATTTCAAATACTGTTTTACATGTTTTTTTGGCTTATATTATTAAGGCATATATATGGCTCTGAATTGTTTGAAAAACTTGAAAAAAAAAAACCCCACTTTCTTTAGAAAGTTGCAGCTATGTGAATTTCAGACCTTCCCACGTTATATGTCCACTATCGAAGGGGAAAAAGCCCTCAAACATCTGAATAGCACTGTAATTTCTCTGCCTTCTGGAAACCACCACTAAACACAGATTTTGAACAGAAAATCTCAAGGACTCAAAGTAAGGAAAACTACAACAGCTCCAGTCTTGGGGGATTTGAGCTCTCCTGCTTGGTCCCTTTTGAGGGCCGTGCTTACAAACTACATCAAGTTTCACGCTGTGGACCCAGTGGCAGTGAGCCGGATACAGCGTGTGCTGCTGGCTGCCTGAGATTTTGTCTTATACAGCTGTTAAATGCCCAAGGGCTCAAGCTTTCAAATACCCACGTGGCTTTCAAATACCCCACTTGCTTTCTCAAAGCCTAAAATCATGGCCTCCACGTCCCTCCATTTGTTCTCTTCCCAAAGAACACACCAAAGGTGGTACAGTGGTGCTACGGCCTGTATCATCACTCAGATAGGAAAAGGATGCTCCTGATGGCTGTTTGTGTGGGAGGACCAGGGCTGGTGGCTTTAAGTTAGTCTCCAACAAACAGAACTCTGCCCTCCTCACCCAGCTTATCGTCCCTGGGAGCCAGTGCCTGAGTCTCTGAACCTATGCTCAAGAGTGCAGAGCAAGTCTTATTTCTCACCCATGCGGGCCAGAAGGTACTGTTTTTCTTTTAAGAAATAGATGGTCTGAGCAAAGAGACCTGAAAAAAAATTGCAGCAAGTCCCACCTCCACAGTAACAAGACAAATCTTCCAGAAATTTTCTTACAAAACAAAAACCCTACCTGTTGCTCCAAAGAGATTCTGCTTTTGGGGGCTCAGGATAGGAGATCCCAACCTCTAAAGTTCTTGTTCGTATTCTAAGTACTTTGGATTCATTCAACTCTGAGCCAGATAGGGCCTTGCATGGCTGGAAAGGCAGTGCATTGGAGTCACTGGGGCAGGGAAGCGCAAGGAGGGAAAGCTATGGATGCCTGTGGTTTCTGGGGACCTACAGTGTCTAGTTTGGGATTCAGTGGAGACGGCAGAAGCCTGCGTCAGAGCCGGCAGTGGAGAGGCTCCCGGCTGCCAACAAGGTGCTGCGAGGCTGAGTGAGAGAGAGAGAGAGAGAGAGAGAGGGCGAGCGAGGGAGGGAGCACATGTTACATCAGACACACTACCTGATTTTTCACTGCACAGCTTGTCAGCCAGGTCGTGTGCCTCCTGGGCGATAAGTGCGAATATTTCATCTTCATACTCTTCTATTATAGTTTCACACTGCAGAAACATAATAACAACACGTGTGGGTGGATAGAGGCTTGCAGGCCACCTTGTTAGGAGGGACTTATAGCAACATTTTGTCAGCTAAAAATACCACATCACAGAAGCAAGGTGGTCTGTTTTTCTAAGCGCTGTGTATCCCGACGCCCCTTGCCTTGGATTAACCCTCCTCCCAGCGTGCTAATTGCATCATTTTCCTGGGACTTCACCAAGGAAAAGATAGGAGGAGGAAGGGAACTGCCTTTAAGCTTTTGTTCCACTCCCTCCAACTGGCATGTAATGAGCTGAAATGAACTGAAGTGAGCTGAAGAACTCTCCGTTTCCTATGCTTTTCAACATTTTTAAAGAACCGTTTCCTCGAAATAGTTAAAGCGCTTTCCCCGGGATTTAACATAATAATCCATTTTGTGGTTTCAAAGTGTGAAAACAATTAAGTCCTTCTCAGCAATGCAAACAAATACATTTCTAACTTCCCCGTGAAGATCTTGCAGGAACAGGTTTAGGCAAATTTCTTTTCATCCCAATGAGAAGCCCCACCAAAATTTCACTTGGGAGTGTGGGGAGAAGTCAGAACCTCAAAGAAGAGAGACCCTGAATTGTTCTGCCTAACATCTTCACTTCTAACTGGAGTGCGTTCCTGGCTCAAGGAGTGGTGCGGCCACTCTGGGCAGTTCTGAAGGTCCTGGGGGGACACTCAGCAGGTCCTGAAGAGCATTGTTTTCTCAGGTCAAGAAGAGAACATCTGATGATTACACTTGATCTTAGCCAAAAGGCCGAGAAGCGATGTCGTCTGTCTCGGGATTACAAATGGCATTTTGTGATACTGAAACTGCACCCTGAATGTGTGTCTTGAAAACCTGCAAGACACACGCACACTCGCTCACGAGCAGCCCCACTTCATGGCTCCTCAACCCTCAGTGACCGCCCTTACTTTCCAACTAAAATGAAATCTTCCAAAGTCAGCTAACGCCCTTGGTTCAGGGGTCCAGCAGGCCTCACATTTTGGTCAAAGTACAAACATAGCGCATTTTTTTTACAGTAGGCCTGCCCATCCTTTTATCTGATCCAACAGCATTAAGTGGAATACGTTGCAATATATTTTGCCAGGCATATTTTAGCAAGGCAGAGGCCAGCTTTCACGTAAAATAAACACTTGTCTGGCGGCGGAGGGGAGGGGTACCTCGGCGTTTAGCAAACTATCATACGTAAGCTTTTGTTTAACTAAGTTTGTGCTAGAATACTTGAATTAACCCAGGCGGGGAATTCTCTCTTCCGTGAAGCCTTAGAGGTGAGGGGAAGAATAGTGTCATTCTCTCGCCATCACTTGCCTCTATGTGTTTGAAAACGCCCTTCATCTCAAGTTTGGAGTCGAGCCTGGAAACCACAGCGCCTGACTCCTGATATGGAAAATGGCGAAAGACAAAACAAAACTGCATGCAAACCGCTTTTGAGTCACCAGCCCTTTCCAGAAAATACCGCTCAGTCCCTTCACTGGTCACCAGGAAATGTCGCAGTACTCTGGAGGCTGGAAAGGCAGGGTTAACTACTGTGCAGGGTTAACCCTGTCCAAGCGCTAGGAAAAGACAGCAGATGCCATTTTATCCACGTCCTGGAACTCAGCGAGGGGAAAAGAGCAGCCAACAACCAAAACCCAATCATAACAAAACCATCACAACAACAACAACAAGCCCACTATACCCTCCAGGCTCACAGTCTTTGCGAAGAACGCTTACCGCGAATTTCAACGGTCTGTAGGCATCCGAATAAAAGTAGAACTTTTTAAAGTCTTTGTACACTTTGTCCCCTTTCCTCGGAGCGTATCTCTTGAAAGTTTTCTCCTTGGTCACGGGGTCCTCCTCCAGCTTGTAGTCGTTCATTCGCTCACACACTTTATCCAGGAGGTCGACGAGGAACGCCTCGGACTGGACGAGCGGGATCTGGGCAGGGAGACACGGGGAGGCAACCTGTCTGCGTGCCCCTGCTGCTGTTTCTGAGCCCGTCAAGGCACACACACGGGTACGCACACAGTCCCGGCGGATGCCGACGTTAACGTGTGGTGGACAGAAATGAAAGGGGGGTACACTGTCCTTCCCCAAGTTTCTCCTCTACGGAGACAGAAATAAAAGCATTCATTCAAACCTGAAGCAGCATTTCTGTGTAACATTCGGAAGTGATTGAGCTCGCAAAGTATAAGGTACCGAAAAAGAGGGTTAGAATCGGGGAGAGAGGGGGAGAGAGAGAGAGAGAGAGAGAGAGAGAGAGAGAGAGAGAGACAGAGAGAGAGAGACAGAGAGAGTCTCCTTCATTTAGGAGAAAAGTTTGAAAAGGCAAAAGTTTTGCTCTTCTCGCGCCTCCTCCCGTTGCTGCCAGCTGCCCCGGGCTCAAGTGGAAAAAGGGGTGATGGGATGGCACCTCTCCCAGGCGGCTTCGGTGCAGCTCTCCTTTGGGAACAGCTGGTGCACGTCCCCGTGCGCCCCCTCTCCCTCCGGAATTCCTCAGAGATTCAGCAGGACGCTCTGGCCACCACCTTCGCTCCGGGCGCGGGTCAAACCCTTGGTAACAGAGACAAAAACTTTCTGCGCTGTCTAGACAGGTCAAGGTGCAGAAGGCTGCGTCCCCGCGGCTCCTTCCGGAAGGGGGCGTGGAGCCGCCAAGGGCGCCCGGACCGCGCCGCAGCCCCGCGGCCTTTGCGGGGCTTTTCCCCTCTCCACCCTCTACTGATCAAAGCAGGAAGTTTGCATGACAACCACAGTGAAAGGGGCTGAATCACAAATGAACTCGATTTCGGCAGTGTTGATATATCCAGCTTCCATTGTCCCCTTTCAGTCGCAGTATGAACCCTTCCGGTGCCAACGACCGGGCTACATTCACAGGCGCGCTCGGGGCGCACAAAGGGTCTCCGCGCTTCACCGCCATCTGGCCGCAAATCCGATCCTCCCGAGCGGCGGCATTAACATGAAAGCGCAGGGTGTGTTGGTGGTGGGTTGTGTGTGTGTGTGTGTTTTAATCTAGGTCGCATTATAAATCATGTCAGCGTTACCACCGTCACCCCCCAGTTTCAGGAAAGGATCGACTTTGATACAAGAAAAGCATTTTAAACAGACACAGCCAACAGGATAAGAGTAAGAGAAAGTTACTAAGTACCCAACTGCACCTACCCAGTGTACAGGTGTTGTGATAGGCAAACTTGCCTTGAATTTGATCTGCAACTCTTTGCAAGGCCCTGCATTCCAACCTGAAGATAAATAGTTATTGAATTGTAAAATGCCACATTCATTCACAGAAATACCAAGTGTGTTTTAACAACTCATAAACTCTTTCATTTCTTCTACAACGCCAGCAGCCATGAGCTGCGTTCTCAGTGGCTCAGACTGCACATTGCAAGTACAAGTTGCATTCCGTTTACGCCTTTCAAGCATGGAAAATTGTAACAAAGAATACTTAGGGTAACAAAATGGAAAATGTGCCTAATGAACCAGCAGCAACTAAGGATCAAACATTTATCAATCACTAGGGGGAGAAGTTATAAGATGCAGAAGTAAGTTCTTCAAGATTGCTAATCCAGGCAGATCATGATGGAGTGGTTCGGGGTGTTTTCTGTGATACCTCTGTTTCTGGTATATTCCTTTATCTGATCAATGGAAAATATTTCATAGCTTCTGAGTGTCAACAAGCAATGTTTTAACTTAAAAACAGGGTGGACTGTTTCATTTCAAAATGAGCATTCAAAAAATACTCCTTCTCCCTCTGTCCTTCTCCCCTTCTCCTTCCACCAGAAGAGTAAGCAAACTTCCTGCTTGGGGGGGGGGGGGTTGAAAGTGGAGGAAGGGATGGGAACTGTGACCTGACAAGCACTGGGTCTGGCCCCCCCTAGCAGAGTGCTTCTAAAAGTTAACTGCCACCCCTGCACCAGGCATTTCTTCGGAAGAAGCCACTCCAGAAAGTCATTGCTAAGATTGACCTAAGTTCTGAACTGTGTGCAAAAATTGCTGGCTATGTGTCAGTTTGGAGCAAAAACATGGCGTGAACCTATGAACAGCCACAACTTAAGTTTGGTGAGCCAATGGGTTTACTTCCTGAGTTCTTAAACAGTCCGCTGCAACCCCCCCCCTCCCCGGCCCCCCATGAAAACTTTCCACCTATCAACTGTGCTTTCAAAACAGAATGTGGCATGTTTAAATCCGGCAGAAGAATGCCTATTTCAACGCAAGCATGTTAGAGTGAGGGATCACCGTGTGCATTTTTGTCATTTTTCTAAGTCTGTGAAGGGCAGTTGGCTCTTGGACATAATTAGCTGGTGCTTTGGCATAGAGATGTGTTGCAAGGAGAACATGTCTGGTGTCTGAGAGCTCAGAAGTCACGGTGATGCAGAATAGCCTGAAATGGGGAAAGGGTGACACTGCAGGAAACCAGCAGAGTATCTTTTCTAGGTTTTTTTAAATATTTTGATCTTAGTATACAAAAGCATTTTTTTTTTGAGAAAATACTTGAGAATAAGATTCCTGCGCAGCTTAGCATCTGTCCATCTATGAGAATGTGTGTGGATAGAGTTTAGAACGGTTCCATCAAGCTGAACTCCATTCAGGAAATTTAGATTGTTGCTAAAATGATTGAGCATTCTCCTCTCCCCACCAAAAACAAAAAAAGTGTTTTAAGAGCATATTACATATTAGGACAAGTGGAATCAAACTAAGTCTTTCTAAATGTTAAATAGTATGTAATCAAACAACGCCTATTGTCATCTTTCGAGAAGCTTGCCTCTGCTCCCCTAGAACTGTCTCAGATACCAACCTCATTAAAATCTGAATGAAAAAGACCCATCATGGCGTCAGGAAGAGGAAACCAAGGCACCGGCACACAGGGCTCTTATCTGCCATTGCTTCCGCACCTGGACTCATCGGGTGCAAGTCGGAAACACAATAGTGTTCCACCATCCTTCCATCCAGTCAAAGGAAGTGCCAATTTCGGCCCAGTTTTCAACCTTGCCCACATCTCTGACTTTTGGGTGGGATGTGTCATGGCTCTGTATGTACTACTGCTAAGCTTCCACAAATCATGTTGGGTGAGCAATGGAAGGGGGACAAAGGGTTCCTCATATCCCAAGCCTGAAAAATGGGAAAAAGCAGCAAAAGTTCGAGCCTCTGGCTCCTGTGGAAAACTGGGGCTAAGCAGCTTATGATGGGCAAGTATGACAAGGCTTTAATAACAGTCAATTATAGGATGCTTCCCGCGCTTGTTCATTACTGTGTCTTTGTTAATCTTGTATTAATTTCTTGCTTGATAGATATCACAATCAGGCAAGAATACAATTATGGCACAGTGCACAATTGGACGTGAAACTGTCGCAGCAGATGATCTGTCTGCCATCACAGCCTGGCAGACTCCAAGACATCGCACTCCTCTCTGTGGTTATTTCCAAGTGTCGGTCGGCTAGGAAGCTGGCCTACAGGCTGTTCAATGGCCAAACATTGATTTCACATTATTGCGAAGAGTTTCTTTTGTAACAATCTAATGTAGAAACTTTAAGGGCATTATAGCAAATATTGCATCTAGCGTAGCCGTGAACTTTCCATCCATGAAAATTGCAATCACTGCTGGTGGTAGTTAAAAGTCAATATTTAGAAGGGAAAACCCAAAGTACGTTTGCTCTAGGCTACGACCGAGGAGGAGTGAGTTCAGAAACTCTTGCGTAAGCTGATGAGATATATAATTAGCTTTTATGTTAATTGACTGCTATGAGTTTGTTGTATGACACTTCTTCATATAATATGCAAATAGTACTATCTAGTTTTATTAGATGATATAATTAGAAATCGAAAGGAGCTCATTTTGATAAGGAATAATGAAAATTGATACATTTCCAGGGTTCTGTGTGTCAGGAAAAGGAATTGCTTCAACACTCAACCAGCAAGAGAGATCTTAAGAGCTTTGATTTAGAAACCCAAGAGGAGTCACCATATTATAGGATTCATACTAGTGTTTGTAGTTACTGTTAAAAATAAATAAAATGAATTAAAAAATATATATTTTTAAATATCTATTTACTTATTTGAAAAGTAGAAAAAGATCGTGGTTCACTCTCCAAACAGACACAAACAATCAAAGCAGGACCAGACAGAAGCCGGAGCCAGGAGCTCCCCCATCCGGGTCTTCCTTACAGGTGGCAGGGGCCCGGGGAATTAGGCCATCTTCCACTGCCTTCTGAGGCACATTAACTGGATAGGATGGAAGCATTACAGCTGGGACTAGAACTGGTCCTGTGACATGGGATACCAGCATCCCAAGCAATGGCTTAACCTGCAGTGCCACAAGCTAGTCCCCTAAAAAGAAATTCAGAGAAAGTGTGCCATGGACTTGGCATGATGACCTAGTGACTAAATCCTCACCTTGTAAGCAATGGGATCCCGTATGGGCATGGGTTTATGTCCCAGCTGCTCCACTTCCCATCCAGCTACCTGTTTGTGGCCTGAGGAAGCAGCCAAGGATGGCCCAAAGCTTTGGGAGCCTGCCCCAGTTTCTGGCTTTGGATCAGCTCAGCTCTGGCCATTGCAGCCACTTGGGGAGTGAACCACCAGATGGAAGATTATTCTCTGTGTCTCTCTGTAAATCTGCCTTCCCCAGAAGGAAGAGCCTGCCCCACTTTGCACACTTCGGGTTGTGTTCAGGCCAGCAAGAGTGGAGCAGAATGTGTGACACCTGCCACGCGGCCCCCCTGTGCCCAGGGGATCTGGGGAGGGCAGAACTGCTGTGTAGTTGGGTGCCTGGCTGGAATCCCTAGCTTTGTGTCACAGGCAGGAAGAGCCCACTGAAGAGCACTTAGGGAACGGGGTTCAGGACGAAGACTGCTGGGAGGCAGAGGCGTCCTGCACTGGGGACAGCCTCTTTTCTTCTTCAGATTTATTTATCTATTTGAAAGTCAGAACGAGAGAGAAACAGA